TTTGTATATTTGAGCAAGATACTTTACTCCGCTTGTTCCAGTCTACTCGGCTGTAAATGAGTACGTGGTTGGGCAATGCTAGAATTGTTGAAAGCTAGCTGTGAGTGCCGAAATGGCAGCACCGGCTGTATGCTCCCAAGGGAGTTGAAAAAGATATTGGCTGGTTGCAAAGGCCCTATGTAACCATGGATAATAATTTATGAACCGCTTTGAGACAACTTACAAACTAGGTTGGGATAAATTAAAGCGGTATATAAGATCCTGGAATTATTATTATTATTATATAATCACATCTGAGGTGTATAATTTCATATGCCTAATGTCTGTGACTAGATTTTATGTAAGGTTTCAGTGATTTTTTTTTTGCCCAGATTTTACAGCAGAATACATGCTGTTTCCCATAGCTAAAAGGTACCTTAGTTATTTTCACAAAATGACAAAAAATAAGGAATGTATTCTCAATAACAGTAGAAATAATGCTATGTTTTCCCTATTCATAATGTGAAAATTTTCAATGCACACTTTAATTAAAAATACAGGTGGAGCGTGTAATTATATGTCAAAATCTGTCAAAATCTGTCAAAATAGCAATTCAACACCCTTAAGCTTGCATATAAAACCCATTTATACAAGTCTACATATGTATCATGCCTTTCCGGTTTTATGCGGGATGTGTTCAGTGCAGGCCACAATTTGTTATTTTAACTTTTTGATTGCTTCCTGGTTTTAACGACTGGAAACCTATTTTTAAACTGAAGTGAAGTGGCACTTTACTTCTCTTCATGATATAAGCTCATCTTCAACATGTCATTACAGATATGTTTTTAACAACCCTTCACGCCACGTCGGATATTACAAACAGGTCTGGGAATGCAGGAAGGTGGCAATCCTGGTATATATAGCTAGCTAGGAAGAAGGGGACGTAGAAGTGATGACGTTTAGTTGGTGTCTTATAACCTCTGAACTACTTGACGTTGACATTATGATACAGCTATATTATATATCTACATAAATCTTTACCACTGATGAGGACTCATTCGGAAATATGACTACTCTACGACAGGTTTAATTTATGTATGGCATGATTGATGCTTCTTGTAAAATTTCTATGTAAAATATTATCTGCAAATTTTTATTTTTCCATATTTGCACTTTACTGTTGCTTATAGACCCATAGACCACCAGCATAGACAACACTGTAGGTCTATATATACATGTATATATAGCTATCGGAAATTGGGAACGGTTAACTTCATAGACCTATTATCTATGGTGTTATTACCTATGATGTGTATATGGTTCAATGACATAAACAGTATATAGTAGTGAGCGAAAACATTTAAAATTACTTTCTTTCTTTATAATTACATGTACTTTCGTAATTTCCTACAATGTACTAAATGAAACTATTCAAACTTAGCAAATTTGTTGGTCAAAAGCTGGTCTAAGCTAGCTATGAAAATTTCAATAGGTCTACAAGAAATTGTTATTACATAGGCCAATTGACTATTGCATGTAAATTCTAAGGCTGTACATCAAATATGTATATTTACATTTCCTCTGCACATTCCTCTATAAGCTTTACTAGAATAAATTGCATTCATAGGGGTATGAACGCAATTTAATCAGTTTCATCTTGAAGCTTCTCCTCGAAAAACATGAAACAATCATTAGGTGCAAACGTTTTGGTAATCATAGGCTGTTACACTTAAATATGGAAAATAGAAGTGAATGCCTGCTTTAGATCAATAATAACTACAACAATTTTAATGTAGATATAAGGATTGAACGACATTTTTCAATGTTCATGCCAGTACTTAGGTTGCAGCAGGCTCATTGAATATGAATGTATCCAATTTGCATTCATACCAGCATGAACATTGAAAAAATGGCATTTAATCTTGATATGAAGTAATTCATTGTGAATCACAGTCTAATCTCAGAGTGAGTATAAACACAAACTGAGACTCTGTACACATGAAGTGGGAAGCTGAACTGATAAAAACAAGTTGTTTGCTTACTGCAGTGATAACCTCAGATGACATAGGACATGATGTAAATATAGACCTTCCAAACTTGTGCACATCTCAAATTGCTTTTTAATCTTATCTAATGAGTTACCCATCTTTTGTACCAGGATGTTGGAGACCTAGTTGAGAAGTGTAGTCTCAGATTACATGTATGTATGTATTGGCTTACCAGTGTAATCATTTTTGAAGCTTCACCATTTTTGTTTTGCCTTATTTAACCGTCGTCTTAATTATGGTTAGTGGAAATACAATTTTACTTGTTATCCAGAAAAATGTAAGTTCAGATTTTTTCTCCCTTAAATCAATATTTGGCACTCAGTCTCTGCATGTTAGGTTGCAGTTTACTACAAATTAACTCCTTCACTCCTGAAGTTTCATAATGAACCATTTGAAATGGAAGAGTTCAAATGTGTCTTCATGATCAGGGGTGAATGAGTTAATTATACCCCCGCAACCAAGTTAGGGGGGGTATACATGAATCACCCTGTCTGTCTGTCTGTCTGTCGTCCGCAGTAACTTGTACGCACAACACCTCCTTAACTTACAGGTGGATTTCATTAAAAAATTGCATGAATGATCAGTATCTTATGCAGTTGTGCACCCTCGTTTTAATTTGGGATTTCGACCCTTTTTGATGGAGGTATGCCCCTTTGTGCGAAAAACTTGTTACTGGTGGGAGACTATGGATTGCTTTGCAATGCTTTGCCTTAGTAAGCCTTGAACTTACAGTTCTGGTTTATATAGCAGCGGGGGTATTAGTTAGCCTTTGGCTTACAGTTCTAGTTAAACCAGCAGGTATATTTGGTGGAAAAGATCATCAGTACTTTCCCCATAGAAGTTTCAGATGTTTTTTCATAATCACTGCATATTCTAATTTTCCCTAAACAATATTTAAATTTGTTTTCTATGGACACGTGCATTTAAATTTGCCTTTGAATTTTTTAAGAAAACTCAGTTCAGAATAAAGGAAAATTTGCCAAAGCTTATATTTAACTGTAAAACCCCTTGAGATCACTCAAGCGAAATATTAAAACTTTATTAAGAGCGTTTTATATAGTTTGGTTTGATTTAATTTTGTTCAACGTCCTATTAACAGCTAAGGTCATTTAAGGATGTGTCTCCATATGTGTAGTGTATATGCGTGCTTGCGTGTGTGTATGCAGGAGACAGGTTATGTTGGTGTTCTTACCTCCTTGTGATTACACAGATCTGATGCCAACTTTATAGTGCTATCTCACTGAATACCATGCAGAAGGCACCCATCACAGCATTCCGCCGGTCACTTTATACTGACAACAGGTGAACCAGTTGTTGCCATTCCCCTAAATGCTGAACGTTATAAGCAGGGAATAACAACTACCATTTTTAAGGGTGGTATGTGCAGGCCTAGGGATAGAACCCATTGCCTTCCCACGTTGGTGAACGCTCAACATTAAGGCCAAACGTGAGGTGTTGCCAAGCAAGGCGTTAGGCAATAAAAGGTAGTTAGAAAGATAAAGATCCCAAATATTTCAATGGCTGCAGTCGATATATTTTGGTCGCTTTTGTGTTCCCAAATAGAGGACACCAAAGCAAATCCCCAATTCTGCAGGGTGTTCCCTCATTAGTCGCCTCCTACGATATATGCAGTGGGTAACAGCTGGTGTATTCTTTTCCCTATCCCCCACCTGCAGGGGTGACTTGTTATATAGAAAATACCATTAATCTTATGATTGTCATTCTCAACAGGTGGTCTTTCTTGACAGGTTGTCTTATACACAGATGGTTTATATAAACAGGTTATATATATTAACTGGTTATCTTATAATTAATAATAATAATAATTGGAGGTTATTATATACTGCTTTATCACAACCTAGTTCGTAGGTCGTCTCAAAGCGGTTCACAAATTATTATCCGTGGTTATAGGGCCTTTGCAACTAGCCAGTACATTTCTCAACTCCCTTGGGAGCATACAGCTGGAGCTGCCATTTCGGCGCTAACAGCTACCATTCAACAATTCTAGCACTGCCCAGCCACGAACTCATTTACAGCTGAGTAAACTGGAACAAGCGGAGTAAAGTATCTTGCTTAAGGATACAACACATTGCCGTGCCGTGGCGCAAACCCGCAACCCTTCGGTCACAAGCCCGGCGTCCTACCACTGGACTACCATGCCTCCTTAAAGGTGGTCTATATTGACAGGTTGTCTTATACACAGATGGTTTATATAGACAGGTGGTCTTTATTGACATGTTGTCTTATACACAGATGGTTTATATAAACAGGTTTTATATATTAACAGGTTTTCTTATAGACAGATGGTTTTAATTGGGCAGGTTATCTTATAGACAGATAGTTTTAATTGGGCAGGTTATCTTATACACATATGGTTTTAATTGGGCAGGTTAAATTTACCTGTAAAGGGTGTTTGTTGTTTATGATTGACATTTGTTTTTGGTTTTATTTACCGGTATATGTGTACAGGTTCTATAATTGAAAGATATATGCATAGAAATGTATAGTATACAATGGTAGCTAGGTGAAAATATAGACTTGTTTACGCAGGGTTCTATATTATTCAGATTCGGTCAAGTGTAAACACAGTAAACAAAAAGTCCCAGGTCTGACTCCTAGGGAGGTATAGAAAAAATATAACAACCTTTATGACAAATACCAGTATTACATTTGTAAATGTGCGTATATAACAGACCCATTGTCATAATATAAAGTAAAAAGTAAAGAGAAAAAAACCATGAAACAATCAGGCTATGAATTATACAAACTATATGTATTGCAAATTTCTTCCTGGTATTTATGTATAACACAATATATAACAGTGGATCTCTGAATAACATGAAACAATCAGGTTATGAATATATACAAACTATATGTATTGCAAATTTCTTCCTGGTATTTATGTATAACACAATATATAACAGTGGATCTCTGAATTCTATATTTAAGTGTACTTTTGTTTTTTTCTTTCAGTCAATAGATTTTAGAGTGTTGATGTTAGCTCAAGATTAAAGTGACAGGGGTCAGAGGTCATAAGATGTTGTCCATCCTCATCCAGCAATGACTTGGTGATCTTTTTCTCAGTGGGCTGACAGTTGGAGGTCATCAGAGGTTAACTATAGCTGCTACAGAGGCCGATTGCAGGGTTCACTGGAGGAGGTGAAAGGTCAAGATGTAGAACTCTCAGACAAATCTTGCGACAGTTCTACCCACCATGGTTACTACGACGGCCGGGAAGTTTGAAGTATGTGTAAGTTTATAAATGTCAAGCAGGTTATATTGCACAGTGTGTACAAGGGAAATATTGTGCACTCACAGTCATTTGAGACATGCAATATGAAGTGCTGTTGATCGTGTAATATTTCCCTACAGTCATGGCCATACATTAATCACTGTTGACAGATGATGATAAGTGAAAGCTAATCGGAAAGGAATTTAGCCTGAAGCATTCTACAATGACATGGAATGACACGGACACAAAACGTTATTTCTTTATGTGGAATTTTCTTGAGATTGGGTTGTCTTTCTCCAATACCGATTTGACGCATTTCCTTGCAAATTTTACCGACGATATGTGAATGTGGTACAGTTATTTTACTAAGATGTGTATATTTTAACTAACACATGTACATATATGTATATTATACCTGTGACTTGTGTAAGACTTAAAGATATTTGTTAGCTTTACACATGTGTGTTAGAGTTATCTCCCTTTAGGTATATGGTATTAAGCTACCTTACACGTTATACCTTGGGTGTGAGTTACAGTACCTCCCTTAAGAATATTTGCTATTTTACACATTATACCAGGAATGTGCATTAAAAAGGTATCTTATAAATGCTTGCTAAATAAAATTTATATTGTCTTACTTAACATCATAGGGAACAGTATATTTCAGGGGAAAGTGTGATATCTGGCTTTAGAGATTTACTTTACAGAGAAATATTATATTTTTATGCCCCGCTTTCACCGAAGCTTGGGATATTAATTTGGGTTTGTCCGTCTGTCTGTCTGTCTGTCTACAACAAATGTTAACAGACATTCTTCAAACTTGGTCACAGGGTTAAATGCCTTAAGGGCTCAGCAAAGTTCGATGACCACTTTCAGAGGACCCCATTTGGCAGAGTTATACCCCCTTGAATAATGAAAAACGTCATTATCTGCCGTTTCTGTTAATTAACTCTCGCAAATATTATCCGATTGTCTTTAAACTGGGTAACAGTGTTTAATGCATTAAGGGCTCGGCACAGTTTGATGACCACTTTCAGGGGACCCCATTTGGCAGAGTTATGGCCCCTTGATTAACGAAAACGTCATTATCTGCAGTTTCAGCTTGATAACTCTAGCAAATATTAGCCAAAATCCTTTAGACTTGATGACAATGTTTGTGTTCCTTTGTCTTTCCACCCATCTTGGGCACTTTTTGCTTTTCGTGTGATAATTGCTGTAAATACTGTTCAGATGTTTCAATCAAAAATCATGCTAAGTTTGCCAACCGATGTGATTTGTGCATATTTACGGATAATCAATGAGGTATAGGGCTTTTATTTTCTTCAAGTTTCAAGCTATACATTATGTCTCAACAGCACGATACTCACATGTTTAAACCTAACCTCAATAATGTTTACCTACAATATGTCCTGCAAGCGGGGGATATAAATTCCACGAATTTGCTTGTTCTATATATCCATGCATCATCACTTATACTGTGTACAGGGAAATATTTCCTACAGTACAACTTTTGCCGTTTTTACCTTCCTCAATTAGGATAAATTTTACATTGCAATGAACAACAGTCAACAACATAAGTGTTTTTCTATATGTAAATTTTAAAACAGCCTGTTTCCTGCATGCATGAATGGTTAAAATGTAACATAATTTTCATTGAAATTGACAAAATATTCTTCATTTTTTTCCAAATTTTGGGTAAATAGAGCACCTTCGTGTCCGGGGAAGCAGTCAGTAGTCAGCTGTAAAGTCAGGCAAACACTATCACTGATGATAAACATAGTATTTTCAAACAAATACAGATTTTATTGGCATAAGGTAAAGTTTTGACTGGGCAAAAAATGTCCTGGTATACTGTAAAGTATACAATATTTAAAAGACAGACTTCCACAGTGTCTAAGTTAACTGAGAAAGAAAAAATTTCAACTGATGTCAATGATAGAAGAGTAAATGAATCCATAAAAAAGGGTAAAAAAAGACTGTTGAAGCTCCAAAAGGACTAGAGTACAGTCTATCAAGTTTGTTTACATAAATCTCCTTGACCTATAGAGTATAAAGTAATGATGTACGTTGGTACCAGTATAGTATAAAGTAGCCTGCTATTGAGTTTGCCCAAATATATTTTACCCTGACCCTTGAAGGTCTCGGATCTATAGATGTGAAATGTGATTGCCAACACTATTCAAAAACTAGTGACCGTACAGGCCCATTGGACCTCATGTTTTTGAGATTTTACTTACTGGTATACATATGTTTCATGATTTGGACCAAAAATTTAGATTGTTTTACCTTGACTTTTAATGGCTAAGGTACCTGGTGAATTGTAGTGTCCTGGCCCTACTGTGCTACAGTTATATCCAAAACAAGGGGAGGCTACTGTGTAAACAAAAAAATGTGGTACAATTAATGGGACAGGGATCCTTAAAAAAAGTGGTGGTGAGGACTAGAGTTGTTACCTAATGTTGAATTTCTATAATAGAATTATTATGATTTACTATTTCTTTTCAAGTGTAATTAACTCCAAACACACACAAGTCATGAAGCAGAGACATACATCCTAGCCATTTGACCTTCATTTTGACATCGCCATGACTGTGGAGTTGGCCTTGAACCTTGACGGGTTCTTTATACCTGTGATCGGAGGTGTTGTGGGCCTCTTTCTCCTCGTCTACGTTGTAGGGGGTTGTTTATGCTTAGGAGGGTAAGTGATTTTAATTTTGTTATGAATGAGCTATTCCCCTTTATCAAATGTGCCGACTCAATTTGATGTAGGTTATTTTTTCCACCTCATATACTGTTTGGTAAATTTACTTAATTAAAAAGTAATTTGATTTTTACTAAACAGGTATAACCTGTGATATTCAGGGGTTTCATTTGTAGCCAGAAGCTGGTAAAAATACCCTCCATAACAGATATTTTACTGGATACTTTCTTGAAAATATAAGAATGGTAATGAGGTTTTGCGATAAAAACTATATCATGATACACTCCAGGTGTATTTTGACATTCCTACATATTGTGGTTTATTTTTTTCTTACAGGAAACAAAAGGAAACATCGCTGAGTACTGGCAAATATGTATCAGGACGGGACACGGACACGGTAAGGATGGGATTTGTGTACAGTAGAACCAGTTCATGGAACTTAAGTTCATTGAAATGCTTCGGCTCATTAGTTATATCTTGTCAGTGGTAGAAAGTTGATTCAGACATAGGAAGTCCCTTATCAGTGTAAGAGAGTTGATTAAGACACAGGTATTCACTTATCAGTGAAAGAGAGTTGATTTAGACACAGGTAGTCACTTATCAGTGATAGAAAGTTGATTAAGACACAGGCAGTCACTTAACAGTGGTAGAGAGTTGATTTAGACACCGGTAGTCACTTATCAGTGGAAGAGAGTTGATTAAGACACAGTTAGTCACTTATCAGTGGTAGAAAGTTGATTTAGACACAGGTAGTCACTTATCAGCGAAAGAGAGCTGATTAAGACACAGGTAGTCACTTATCAGTGGTAGAAAGTTGATTAAGACACAGGCAGTCACTTATCAGTGGTAGAGAGTTGATTTAGACACAGGTAGTCACTTATCAGTGGTAGAGAGTTGATTAAGACACAGCTGGTAGTCACTTATCAGTGGTAGAGAGTTGATTAAGACACAGGTAGTCACTTATCAGTGGTAGAGAGTTGATTAAGACACAGGTAGTCACTTATCAGTGGTAGAGAGTTGATTAAGACACAGGTAGTCACTTATCAGTGGTAGAGAGTTGATTAAGACACAGGTAGTCACTTATCAGTGGTAGAGAGTTGATTAAGACACAGGTAGTCACTTATCAGTGGTAGAGAGTTGATTAAGACACAGGTAGTCACTTATCAGTGGTAGAGAGTTGATTAAGACACAGGTAGTCACTTATCAGTGGTAGAGAGTTGATTAAGACACAGGTAGTCACTTATCAGTGGTAGAGAGTTGATTAAGACACAGGTAGTCACTTATCAGTGGTAGAAAGTTGATTAAGACACAGGTAGTCACTTATCAGTGGTAGAGAGTTGATTAAGACACAGGTAGTCACTTATCAGTGGTAAAAAGTTGATTAAGACACAGGTAGTCACTTATCAGTGGTAGAGAGTTGATTAAGACACAGATAGTCACTTATCAGTGGTAGAGAGTTGATTAAGACGCAGGTAGTCACTTATCAGTGGTAGAAAGTTGATTAAGACACAGGTAGTCACTTATCAGTGGTAGAGAGTTGATTAAGACACAGGTAGTCACTTATCAGTGGTAGAGAGTTGATTAAGACACAGGTAGTCACTTATCAGTGGTAGAGAGTTGATTAAGACACAGGTAGTCACTTATCAGTGGTAGAGAGTTGATTAAGACACAGGTAGTCACTTATCAGTGGTAGAGAGTTGATTAAGACACAGATAGTCACTTATCAGTGGTAGAGAGTTGATTAAGACGCAGGTAGTCACTTATCAGTGGTAGAAAGTTGATTAAGACACAGGTAGTCACTTATCAGTGGTAGAGAGTTGATTAAGACACAGGTAGTCACTTATCAGTGGTAGAGAGTTGATTAAGACACAGGTAGTCACTTATCAGTGGTAGAGAGTTGATTAAGACACAGGTAGTCACTTATCAGTGGTAGAGAGTTGATTAAGACACAGGTAGTCACTTATCAGTGGTAGAGAGTTGATTAAGACACAGGTAGTCACTTATCAGTGGTAGAGAGTTGATTAAGACACAGATAGTCACTTATCAGTGGTAGAGAGTTGATTAAGACGCAGGTAGTCACTTATCAGTGGTAGAAAGTTGATTAAGACACAGGTAGTCACTTATCAGTGGTAGAGAGTTGATTAAGACACAGGTAGTCACTTATCAGTGGTAGAGAGTTGATTAAGACACAGGTAGTCACTTATCAGTGGTAGAGAGTTGATTAAGACACAGGTAGTCACTTATCAGTGGTAGAGAGTTGATTAAGACACAGGTAGTCACTTATCAGTGGTAGAGAGTTGATTAAGACACAGGTAGTCACTTATCAGTGGTAGAGAGTTGATTAAGACACAGGTAGTCACTTATCAGTGGTAGAGAGTTGATTAAGACACAGGTAGTCACTTATCAGTGGTAGAGAGTTGATTAAGACGCAGGTAGTCACTTATCAGTGGTAGAAAGTTGATTAAAACACAGGTAGTCAATTATCAGTGGTAGAAAGTTGATTAAGACACAGGTAGTCACTTATCAGCGGTAGAGAGTTGATTAAGACGCAGGTAGTCACTTATCAGTGGTAGAAAGTTGATTCTAACACAGGTAGTCACTTATCAGTGGTAGAAAGTTGATTAAGACACAGGTAGTCACTTATCAGTGGTAGAGAGTTGATTAAGACACAGCTGGTAGTCACTTATCAGCGGTAGAGAGTTGGTTGGACAGTTGATACATCATTTCCTCTGTAGAAATTTTGTAAAGAAAACGGAAACATTTTGTCATTGGAAGTCAGTTGGTTAGGAAAGGAGGCTAAGGTGGTGGCCTAACAATTATCTTTGATCATTAGCCCTCCACCAATGGTTGTGGGTACAAGGCCTATGTGGGGTAGTCACCAGGTAGTGGTACTGGCTGCAGAACAGTGGTTTTTCACCGGGTACTCCGGCTTTCCTCCACCACCAGAACCTGGCACATCTTAAAATGACCCTAGCTGTCAATTGGACATAAAATACAAACAATACAAACTGTTTAGGAAATGGGAAACATTTTGTCACCAGTTGATAGATGGTTAGCAATCAAGAAGCGCAAACATTTAGTAATCAGAAGTGAGTTTGTCAGGGAACAGTTTGTCATTGAAGGAAGTTAGAACACCGGTATCATCTTGCCAGTGGTAGATTGCTGAGAGACCACTTTTAGCCTCTCCTCCACTATTAGTTTATTTCAACTTATGTCAAACAGCGGTTTTTGGGATTGTAATATAACACTCCGACCACCCAGTTTCAGCATGAAATATTACAGTGTTCATTATCACAGATCTGTAGTATCCAGAATGGAAGCAGACATGTGTTAATTTTAAGGTAACTACTGTGTTTTACTGGTGATATTCCCATGCCTGGTAATAAGCCCTCCAAACTGTAACACACACACTCACACACACACACACACACACACACCTTTTTGTAAATCATAAAGTACCTGTTAAGCTTACCAACAGGATGTCTTCAGAACCCTTGGATTTGGATGGTGATATACATTTATGACAAAACAAAGGTTGTAGTCTCAACTATAAGCTGTAAGATGTGTTTACTCTTGTAGGCTGCTAATCCTGTGGAGAGCGTGACTGTGGATGTCGACAATGGTCTGGTTCCATTAGAGAATGGTCAAGCAGGAGGCAGTCTTAGGTAAGAGAATGGTCAAGCAGGGGGCAGTCTTAGGTAAGAGAATGGTCAAGCAGGGGGAAGTCTTAGATAAGAGAATGATCAAGCAGGGGGCAGTCTGAGGTAAAAGCATGGTCAAGCAGGGGGCAGTCTAAGGTAAGAGAATGGTCAAGCAGGGGGCAGTCAACAACAGTGACTTTTATATATTTTTCTGAAAATATTTTCCCTGCATTACTGACATTGTTTGAACATTTCATATCACAGAATCAGTAACAATAGCCAAAGGAGTCCTGGGCATTCCCCTCATCACGCCAACCAGCGACAGCTCCCGGCACCGCCCCAAAGCAACGGCGCAGTCAATCCAACACTTCCAATGGACGAAAACGATTGTGATGATTACGACCATTTGGAAAAAAGTGTAAAACCGGGAAACAAGCGTGGGTCCAATTATGATCATGTTATTCTCGGAGAGGATGGATCGGTGAAAATCAAAGAAAGGAAAATTGTAAGTGATACTGATTATGCCGAGGTGAGCATAGAAAACATCTACACACCCGTCAAGGAACAGGAAACATCGGCGAATAAGGCTCGTGTAAACATTCTGGAGACTTCAAACGAGGACGAATATGCAATGGTCAGTGATGAAAGGGAACCAATGCTACCGGAAAATATCAAGGGCAAAGAAGATCCATATGCGAAAGTTAAAGAGAAAGAGGATCCATACGCAAAAGTAAAAGATAAAAAGGACCCATATAATAAGGTCAAAGAGCCAGATGACCCCTACAACAAGGTCAAGGAAAAAGATGACCCTTACAACAAGGTCAAAGAGAAAGACGACCCTTACAATAAGGTCAAAGAGAAAGACGACCCTTACAATAGGGTCAAAGAGAAAGATGACCCTTACAATAAGGTCAAAGAGAAAGACGACCCTTACAATAAGGTTAAAGAGAAAGATGACCCTTACAATAGGTTCAAAGAGAAAGATGACCCTTACAACAAAGTGAAAGATGACGACCCTTATAACAAGGTTAAAGAGAAAGATGACCCCTACAACAAGGTCAAGGACGATGACCCATACAACAGGGTGAAAGAGGAAGGAGAGTCAGGTGGTTCATTTATGGATTTTGACCCTTACAATAAGGTCAAAGATGTTGACCCCTATAATAAGGTCAAGGACACTGATCCATACAACAAGGTCAAGGATGTTGACCCTTACAACAGGGTTGAAGATGTTGATCCGTACAACAGAATAAAGGGGGATGACCCACCCTATAATAAAATAAAAGGAGACGATATTGATGATCCTTACAACAAAGTAGATGAGGATGACTTTGTTGATATTACGGAGGATCCGAAATATCCTTACTCCATGGTTGATCCTAATAGGAAAGCGAAACAGGTGACAACAATTACAGTGACTCATAACGGTGCTGAGGAGCCCACTGCCTCTCCGGCTGGTGCCCCCCAAGTTGTAGATACATTCAAAGTTGAGGAAGGTACGGATGAATATGCTGTTGTTGTGAAAAATAGATCAGACTCATCATCGGTGGCCACTGTTGTGACCGAGTCGATGGTCACAGACAATCCCCCAGAGGTCAGCCCCTATACTCTGCCCCCTGAACCCCCAAGGAATTACAGGAGTGAGGAAACGTCCGTACAAGCTCCGCCTTCAACTCATGGATCCGCACTGCCACCAGTCAGTTCAGTCAACCAATCACAAACACAGACCTCAGCTGCTACAAGTGTGAGTCAAACCTCACCTGCTGAAGGAGACGCTGTGCAGGACACAGGTAGGTAACGAGCTAAATCAACACATTAGTACATGAGTAAAACACTGAATTTAAATGTACACTACGGGTGGCAAATTGTTTATGAATTATGGACGTTTGTTGAGGTGATTATGTGTTTTTATGGACTTGAAAAAGTGATATTAAGCGAGACAAAGCCAAGGTTAATGTAATTTTTTCAGGTCCATATAATCACATATGAACCAAAACAAAAGTCCTTATTTAATTGTAACATTAAATGAGATGCTAAATAATGTTCAAATCATTAAAAAAGATAGAAGGTATAAAAATTGTCATGAGTAAACTACAGCATTTGGCAGAGGGCATTGTGACATTACAATTAAAATGACGTTATAAAGTGAATATTGACCTGCTGTTTCTAAAGATAGTAGGATAGAGTCAATATCATTACCAATTATCGTTCAGCATCTATGACTTTATAGCCTGCCTTTTGCATTTCTAGGTCCTCCTCGCCGGGAACCTGGCTACATCAAGCTGACGTCAAGAGAGTCGATGGCTAGCATTAACGCACGCCGCTCTCTCAACACGTACGAAACTGTGGCAGAGACAGAAAACATGTATGCAACAGTAAGTATTGTTCTAGAGAGAATCAAGGCCAAGTCCTTCAGGGTCAGATTAGCATAACATGATGTTAATCAAAGTCAAACATCCTGAAAAAAAAAAGACTTTTTATTTACCGGGCAATATTTTCACATTTTTTCCCTGATGGAATGATTTGCAAGATATGGCAAGTAATTCTCTAAAATGACATGTCACAGGCATTATTTTGTAAGGCAAAGAAGAAAATGCTGAAGCAAAATCGATTTCATCTGAATAGCTTGTCATACCTAAAAAAGCCTAGGCACATATCAATACTTACTATTGAAATCTATATAGTGTGGTCTTATCTCTATATTCAGATCAACATCTAGAAAATACTATGGTTCCTATTAAGAGTTTTATTTGCCAGAGCCATTTTAGATTATTTTATGATTCATTGGGGCTGCAGTGGCTGAGTGGTTAAAGCATCTGACATTCTGCGACAACTAGCCCTCGACCACTGGGTGGCTGGTTCGAGGCCTACGCAGGGCACCCGCTAGGTACTAGCCATGGTTTTTCTCAGGGAACTCCGGCTTTCCTCCACCACCAAAACCTGGCACATTCTTAAATGACCATAGCTGTTAATAGGACGTAAACACAAACAAACCAAATGATTCAAATGCGGACTGAATGCTTGGCTGCTTATTTCGAAACCAACTTTGATCGTTCTCCACGCTTCCTTTGTTTACACCTTTCGTTATACATCAAAGTAACTGACTGTACAATATTTTAAGCATTAGATCTCTCATAATGATAATATGATATGCAAAGAATAACAATGTCAGTATCTATACGATACTCCACGCAATATTTGAGTAGACAGTGTAATACTCAGGAGTGCTATCAAAATTTGGAAGTGTAAGGTTTAATACATGCTTGTGAGCTACCTCCTGTTCCTAGAGAGGCCGCGGTGGCCAAGTGATTAAGGCATCTGACATTCTGCTCCCAAAAGCCCTGCACCACTGGGTCGCGGGTTCTAGGCCTCCATGGGGCACTCACTAGGTACTGGCTGTATAGGTCTGTAGTTTTTCCCCGAGAACTTCGGTTTTCCTCCACCACCAAAACCTGGCACATCCTTAAATGACCATAGCTGTTAATAGGACGTAAAACACAAACTAACCAAAACCGCTCAACAATCAGCATGGTTTTCACACAAAATATCAAAAAATGTGTTTTTGTTTGAATTATTAATTTTCATTAATGCCTTTGCCTTTTCATTTGTTTTAAGCAATGCTATATATAGATACACAGCTAATTCAGTTCTTTCACCTCATGCATGAAAACTTTGCCATTTATCTTTTTTAATGACATCACTTGTTTGATAATGCGTTTTATAGGTGGAAGGTAGTTCAGGAGATGGGATTGTTCAGGCTGCACCCACAAATCCTGTTCCTAGCCGAGCCAGCCTCCCCAACGACTTCTATGCAGAAATTGGGGGTTCAGGTGATGGGGTTGTACCAGCACCCTCCCCAAATCCTATACCAAACAGAAACAGCCTGCCAAATGACTTTTATGCAGAAATTGGAGCATCGGGTATGTGAAAATTAACAGTAAAAATATCACTCGTAAGGGATGTTAATAAAAGCACAACATTACCAGATAATATTATGATGAGATAAACAAATAATTACTTTATGAATTTTGTCTTACCAGGTATTGTTCTAGAGAAACTGAATAGAAAATGTTCGACAAAGTCGGGGGTTTATAGTACATGTATTTGCTGTGTCTGTGCGTCCATCCGGCCGTTCTGACTGTGGGTTCAAGAGCATATCTCGGACGCTGTTTCATGAATGGGCATCAACCTTTGTTAATACATGTGTACATCATAGTAAAGTTGTGTGTCGCATCCTAATACGAGGTCACTGTGGCCTCAATTTACCTTTGACCTTCACCTCAAGTACTGAATTAATTGTAATTCAGATTTCTACTGCATATCTTAGCCACTGTTTCATGAATGGTCTCTAAACTTTGTAGATATGCGGAGAGACAGGGGTATCCCGTGAAGCCCACGCTTTGAGTATAATCTATTTGTAGTCTAGAATTTAAATATAGTTAATAAAATCAAATATTTTAAAAATTGACATTAACTTGGTAAGTTACCTAGTCGAATGAATAAAATCTGTAACAGTTGCAGGGTTCAGATACCTCTGACCACAAAACTGGTTGGTTAATATAGACAAACAGTAATATTTCAGTGTAACAATCCTAGTATCATTTGACTGACCAACCGCCCTGTGACAGGGGTCATCCATCACCACCTACATTGTAAGAAGGAGTTTTAAATGAACTGGCAGTTTTAATGATGGGACAAATACTGTATTTACTACATTTCCTCTCATTTAATTTATTAAGGGCCACAGTGGCCGAGTGGTTAAGGCATCTGACCGTCTACAACCACTAGCCCTCCAATACTGTGTCTCGGGTTCGAGTCCTACGCAAGACATTTGCCAGGTACTGGCCGCAGGTCGGGTTTTTTTCTCAGGGTCTGGCTTTCCTCAACCATCAAAACCTGGCACATCATCAAATGACCATATCTATTAATAAAACAATACAAACAAACTAAGGGGCCAACACATTTTCTCAGATTCAAAATAAGTGGCTGGGCTTATTACAGGAAAATAGAATTTTGTTTTTTCGTAAATCTACTTAACTGCAATATATAAGAGTGGGCTTAGTACCGGATAAATACAGTAATCTTTATATACATGTTTTGATTCCCAGGAGAACAGCAAGCTCGTGTTCCAGCCCCACCCTCATTGGATAGTCTTCACCTCATGACAAAGACACACCATGAAGGTCGTCAAGGTTCAAGGTCATCCACAGAAGAAAGTGAATTTCGACACAGCATACCAGAGCAGTTGTCGCCAAGCGCCTTTGTCAACTCGCCTCCATATGGGGCATCGGCCAGAACAAGTTACGCAGAGCCAAAAGTGTCCAGTCCCAATGTCCGGGGCACTAATGGTAATGTGATCCTTGACCCCAATTACCAGACTGTCAGGGATTGTGTCAATGACCCTGACCTTGACTGTGACATTGACCCCAATTACGAAAGTGTAGAGGAAGCAAAAGCAAAAGCATTTGTGTTGGAAGAAAAGAAAGAAAACGGACAAAATTCGACGGACACCAAGATAAAAAGAAATCACGTTTATGAAGAGGTGAAACCGTCGTCAGAGACAAGAGGAAATCAGACGCGCGCTTTACGCTCTCACATGTACGAGGACATTAACGAAGTTCAGGAGCAGAAACGTGAACTGAATAGGAAGTCTCAAGTAATCTCAAAATCCAAGAAAATGTGAAAAATATAATTGATTTCATTCATGTTATGATTTTATTACCCATGTACACAGAATCTTAAAGTCACAAGTAATCTCAAATTCCTACCAGAAACCAAATGATAAAAAGTTAATATATATATACTGCCCGATTTAAATGCACTCAATACAAAATAAAAATAAATCTCAATTTCAGTTGGGAGGGGAAAAGTTTAAATGCTGCTGAAATTGAAATTTATAATTTAACAATTATTTTATGGTAATTGGAAACTGATTGTTTTGCTTTGCTTGCTTACAATAGTTTTTAAACAATAATTGCAAGAATTGGTCTTTTAATGCTGTTTATATACTGATTGTTGCAGTATACAATACTGTATACATACATGTATACTGATTTTAGCAGTATAAAATACAATACATGTATTGTAAATATACTGATTTTTGCAGTATACAATACAGTATATGCTGATTTAAGCAGTATACAAATATTGTACATATACTGATTTCAGCAGTATACAATACAGAATTTATGCTGATTTTGGCAGTTTACAATACAGTATATACTGATTGAAGCAGTATGCAATACTGTTTTTATGTTGATTTTAACATTTAAAAACAGTACATGTACTGATTTTAGCCGCTATATTGTACATACATGTATACTACCAGTAACTTTATCAATAATTTCTGGAATAAAAAATATGCATAATTCTGAACAGCACAATTTTTTATTTTTTTTTAATGGCAAGTAGCATGATGTCTGCTTAGAGTAAGGCCTGTCATACAATTGAAGTAATGAATAACAATGTTTAGGTTTAGCGGGGTTCCACAGTATTAAGGTTGTGGTATAAAGTAATTTGTTAAAATTTATTGGCAATTTCTCCTGTTCAGGCAAAACCAATATAGATGAACGTGCATCATTATTGTGTTTCAGACTTAATGTAAATCAGTCACTACCCAGAGTTGTCTTTCCTTACATTCAATCACACCTCTGTCAACGGCTGAATGCAGGGAATTTTGCCAAAGTTTTGAAAACCTGTATTGGCTAAATCTACTACATATTTCAGCAGCGTTTTTTATGATCAATTCATTAAACACATTACACCTAATTTCTTGCAAATATGGAACAGCAAGATTTTTTTCAACACAAAATTGAGAAGATTATGTTTGCATTCGCCATTGTGTAATCCGGCTTGGTATCTTCGTACATCACATAAATAAGATCACACTGTTAGCACATGTTGGATTCGTGATGAGTGTCGGAGATTATATTATAAAAAATTGCAAACAAATATGAACCTGGTTTTAGTTTTAACAGGCAAACAGGTCAAAGTATTGGAATATGTATGACAGAAAAGTGACATTCTGGTGAACTTACCTGATGATAAAGTGGTCAATCTTGTCCAAGGCCGCCATATTGTACAGTTTGACGGCACATGGCCAAGTGTCACATGATCAGAAGCTTTTTATAATGCAGACAACTTTCTAGCCAATGACAGAAGTGTTAGTGATTGTAAGTGATGACAACTCTGTGTAGAAAATTACTGTACATACTCTATACTTTTAATGTTGTCTTTTATATTTATGTGTCGGTACATCATTGTGTCTGTGTACTAACACATTCACCCCCGAAGACACATTTGAACTCTTCCAATTCAAAGAATGGAATAATTCATTATGAAATATCAGGGGTGAATGAGTTGAATTATGTAAACTTTATAAAATGTTTCAAAGTCTGCAAGAACTTCTGGTGCTTCATTTTAATAATTGCCTTCATAAATACTTCATTATAAATATTAAAGGGGGAATTACCCAATTATCTCCCCTTTTCAAAAATTGTTGACTCACTTATTTCGTCGTGAAATTCAATGCATACAAGTAAAACGACCATCACTATTTCTTTTTATTACATACTGTATTGTTATTGTGATGGAAATAAACAGATTTTTTTTTTTTTTAAATTATCGCAGAAAAACAAACCTTCATTTTGGGTTTTCTGTTTGCTAACGCTTTTTACAACTGTTTTGGTCAAATTATTGTGTCAGTTTTTGGTCAGTTTTCTAACCAGACTTCATATCATTCCAAACCTTGACCTTTACAAAACTCATGTACATGTACTACTTTTCTTTAAGGATGCCTGTACCACTGCCAAAAACTGTGACTGTGCATTTGAACCTGTTTATTTTTCTGGCATGATGATAGCTTTGATAAATCATTTCTTAAAAGAAAATCATACCTTGCAAGACTTTAATGAAAAAATAATAAAATGGAAAAAAAATAAAGATGAATAACCAACAACAGTGTTCTAGGTGTACAAATTCAGCGGGGCTAGACCGGGATTCGAACCCAGAACTGCAAATTGTCTTGTCATACTGTCACTATAATAACTGAGCTATCTGGTAAATTGAACTGTCAATTATGCTACAATTGCATCCAAAATCAAATTAAGGGGAGGTAACTATGCATTAGAGAGAAAAAAAAACACAATCCAGTGGTACAGGGATCCTTAATTATTACATGTAACATTACATTTATTGTAGTAATTTTTAAAGTCCATTTTAGATAATCGTTTCCTTCAATGTTGTAGATTTTTTTTTTATTTAATTAAAAAACCCTGAAAAGAGGCACAAAGGGTACTTGTTCAATAAACAAATGTTAAATGTTCAATAGAAAAGAAAGTGGTTGGAATCTATTCACCCCAAGGTAATTTTAATAAACTCTACCATGCATCGACCTGGATATGTCCATTATGGTCTACAGTGGTGAAAGGGTTAAGTGGTATAGACTAATAACTACAATAATTCAGTTATGTCTAATGTTTCTGAATTCTATCTACCTTAACCCTTTCACCCATATGTAAGTTGAATAAAATCTACCATGCATTGATCTGGACAAGTCCATTATGGTCTACAGTGGCTAAACGGTTAAGTGGTATAGACTGATTCTAAGTTATCACAGACATAAAAGGCAAAATCAACTGGAAATTTCAATATATTAACTCATTTATCCCTGAAATTTCATAATGAACTATTCCAGCCTTTGAATTGGAAGAGTTCAAATTTGTTTTCAGGGGTGAATGAGTTAAAACAAATCTGTTGTAGGTTAACTCATTCACCCCTAAAATTTCATAATGAACTATTCCAACCTTTGAATTGGAAGGGTTCAAATGTGTCTACAGGGGTGAATGAGTTAAAGTTTGAAGCTGTAACAGAAGATACAATAGATATTCTTGAGAAAAAGCACAAGACTCATTTTGTATTTTTTAATGTATTTGTGTTAATTTATTTATATTTTTAATTATATGTTTAAATACAGTAAAACCTTATTATACTGACATTGTAGATCTATTGGCAAATTTTTGTCATTATAAAGAGGTTTGACCACATAATGTGGTAATATCTACAGAGACTGTTAAGAACTTTGAAATATGTTAACAGTTACACAAAATTACAAGTGAAATGAATGTCTTTATATCAAGGTTTTACTCCATATAGCATATACAATAGTGTTTTGACATCTATGACTTTCTCACCGGAGGAGCTGTGCTAGAGCTTTGCAATTTTTGGTTTTCATTTAATGAAAAATTGTGGATGATATATTATTTGCAAACATACATTGACTTGCCATTTGAGAGGGGGTAGGGGAGGGGGGTAGTTGTGTGTGAGGGATTTACCTATTCAAGTCGTAGGGGTGGGGTGGGGTATACTAAGTCAATCGGGGGGCTAGGGGGCAAGAATGTCTGGGGTCGTGTTTACCCAAATCGGGTAACATCGGCACTTTCAGTAACAAGAAAATATTTTCTCGTTTACGGAAAGTTCTGACGGTTCCCGATTGATATTAGCCCCTGATCACTGCATTGTTGTTGAGATATTTTATAGTGTATTGTATCTGCACAGCTGCCTTATTGTAAAGGTGCAAGTAAGGAAGGCACATTTTGCAGAAAATAAAGCTAAAGGCGTGTGAATTATTCCATTTTCCTGTAAAAAAATAAAAAATAAAAAATAAGGTCAAGGTAGGTTATAAAGTTGGCAAAACTTCTTTTTTTTCATTTTCTGAATTTGTCTTGTTGTAAGAACAGTTGTATTAAATAGTGTTTTGCAAAATAGTGTTTTGCAAAAGTTAGCTTAAATACCAATGGCTACAAGTGCTTGCAGATTCACACTTTTTAAGTTAAAGATATTATGATGTCAGGTATATGGCATTTGTATATTTTTACAATGTATATACAGACTCCTGTGTATAATTTTTTATTATTATTTGTATGTTTATTTGCATCATGTTTTATTCTACAAATTGAAAACAATCCTTGTAATATCAACAAAAATTTCAAAATGTTAAACGGTCCCCCATACTCAGATTTTCAGTTATCCTATCCTTCAGGTTGTTTTACCAATCATGAGAACATCTGTCATATCTAACAATCGAAGGCACACAACAAGCTATTTGATTGGTTGCAGTTAAAAAAAATCCTGACCAATCGTTAGGCTGATACCTGTCCTTTGAAGATTACACAGGAGCAACACCTGATTTCAAGGCCAGGCAATTTTACTGCGTCGCTGCCGTGCAATTCTTTTCGTATACATCAAAGGATCAAACTATTCTAGTTGTATTATCCACAAGGAGACACTTAGGGAATCTTTTATTTCTATATATACCAGGGGTGAAGAGAACGAAAGTAAGCGTAACTCACGCAATCTCGAGTTTGAGTGCTAACTTTTGGTAAACACCCTAGGTATCAAAACAAATTTGATATGGGTCAAGCTTTCTGGGCATTTCTTATCAATTACTATAAGTGGGGCAGATTTAAATGACCCATCGGGATTCACAAGAGTGTGCAGGTAAGGACGCCTTTACCAGCATCTGACCCAGAATTAATTTGAGAGTTTAAAGTTGCGCATTCTCACCACATAGTGTGCAAGGTGGAATTTAATTTTATCAGGAAAAATTATCCTTTCAATTTCAATCTTGCTTGAATCCCTTTAACCTTTGGTACGACTTATGACCATCTTATATGCAACAGGCATATTGACGCCATCGTATTTTTACAGAATTACTAATATTAAGTTTATGGAATATTTCTTGTACATATCTTCGAGCTAAATGAAGGAAGCACATATATAGAGTTTAGGGGGTTGTAGTGGTATTTCAAGTAAGTCTTTCCAAAGTTTTAGTTTCTGCAAAGTATGCTGGAAAAAGAGTTTCCGTTTCCGTTGCAGAGTTATAGTTTTAGGCAGTGGTACGTCAATCCTTAAATAAGGTCATGCTAGGCTCTGTTGATGCCACAGATAGCTTGACTATTACAGTGCCTTCAATCTGATTTAAAACAGATCTTTAATTCCACTCCGATACTCTACTTTCCCCGACTGTAGAGTATCCGAGCCGAATCAGCGATCTTGTTTTAATTAGATTGTGACACCTTAGGGTTATGCTATATATAGAACTCAAGTGAAGTTTATGGGAAAATAGTGATAATGTTTCTATTGAGGAAGACAATTACAACTCATTCGCCCCTGAAATTTCATAATGAACAATTCCAACCTTTGAACTGGAAGAGTTCAAATGTGTCTTCAGGGGTGAATGAGTTCAGAATAATACACTGTTTTCTATGTTGTGTTTTAGTTTAATGTTTTTAGCATTCTGTGTTAAAAGGTTAGAAATAAAAGA